GACCCTGGTGGCTCACAACTCTGCTCACACACTTGTGTGCATTCCTGCTGTGCACTGTGGTCATATTATACAAGATACCTGCCCTCACAAACAAGCACAGTCACCACTTGCATTTATCTTCACTGAAGGACACAGAAGCTTTAGTGGATTTCCTCCACCATCTAGTGCAACAACATCTGAATATTGAGTTTGTCCCCGTTTCACTTTGATTTATTGATTTTTCACAAGTCACCATTCTGTAGCAACAGAGATATGATTGTTATGTAGCTTTTATTAGTCAAATGAGATACATTAATAGGAATACCACTTTACTCTTGGCAGACCAAAGTGTAATCATTCTGAACAAGCTGAGATCATTCCATTGACTTTCACGTTTTGTCCTTTAGACCTAGATTCCACAGACACTTGTACCTCTACCTCAAATTTACTGTTATGTATAAGTCTTTGTGCTATTGTGATTTTAGTATTCTGCTATGTGCTTTTTGGTTTAAAAATTACTTTAATGAGGGAAAATGTTAAATACTCTCAGACCCTTAATCAAAGTAGTTTTGACTTCTTTGCCAAACTAGTTATAAGTGGACTCTAACATTTCCTCACATCAGTGCTGAATTGCAGAAGTCAGGAGTGGTAGATGCACTGAACTATTTTCCTTCTCTTTCATCCTAGATCCTAAGAGCAGAATGAGCAACACTGCATTTTTATAGCAGAGCGTATCATTTTGTATACCCTCTTCTGTCAGAAGAATCACCTCGGGAGAGCAGTCATGTTTGTGACAAGCTGAACTGGCGAGGACCTTTCCTGTCTGCCCTCTCCATAACTCTTCCATTTCACAGTCAGGGTTCTGTTCTAGCCAGCTGCTGTATATTTTCCTCTGGGAATAAGGATGTAGTATCAACAAAACCGTCATTTGGCCAAGAATTTTTAGGATAGATGACAAAACCAGCATAGTTTAAATTAAGTAACAAGAACCTATTAAAATATGTGAATAAGGATAAGAGAATGCATGTAATTTATGGAGAGATTTATGAAAAATGGGAAATGACAGACTTTTAAATTTAGAAATTACTTTTCTTTTGTAATGAATCACACTTGACAAAGTTATTGTCACCACATTTCTCCGCTGTGGAAGCTGCCCTCTCTGCATAATTAGACTTCCTGCATAGAGAGCAACAACCTGTGCTTTTCCTTCATTTAGTTCTAGTATTTTTTTTTCAATATCCCTGTCTAATGCCAGAGAGAAAGGAACAGATCTTTACATAATATGGCAACTATGTTTGTGCTTTTAATGTAAAACAAACCTGATGTTTGTTGACATCGATGGAAAGAATCATTTTAATCTCAGTGGGTCTTATTGCCCACAATATGTAGCATCTGGTTTGTAATGTTGGCTCTGAGCTAATATTTAAATCTTATTTTAGCTAGCTCTACAGAGAATTTTTTTATAACATGTTGGTTTGCTTTTTTGTTTTAATGTGTTCCCTTTATCCTTAATTACGGAGTTCAGAAAATAACATTTTAAGGCTAACTGGTTTTTCTTTTCAAGCCCTTTCTCCATACCTTTTTTCTGTCTCCTTCAAGTTTCCTTCATTTAGGCAATTTACTACATCTTATTTACAAAATCATAGTTTACAGTCAACGTATCAGAGATGCTTGCTTTTTCTCTACTGTTTGAATACAGAGAGACAGTTTTCCTAGTCGATGTGGGTGGAATAACCTTTCTTTTACATAAAAATGGGAAGAGACAATATAGCAGGTTTCTCATCATGGACGGTAAGTCTCAGCTTGAAAATAAAGCATACATGTTTTTCCTTGAATTAATTAATTTTACTATGAGGGATATATTGGTTAGTTGCAAACTGTACTCAAAAAAAAAGTAAGAATGGGCAGAAACAGAACTGCAAGCCTGTTTCTTGCCTAACTGATACTGTGTAATTTGGGAATAGTAGTTTAATTTTATTTACCTACATATAAAACAGAGTTAATGCCCCTTACTTCTTTGTAGTTATGAATCTTAACTAATTTAAGTCTTATCTGTAAACAGAAACTATATCAAGGAAATTACATAAAGAGCACTAATGAAGCCCAAGTGGCTTGAGGAAATAAATACTCCATTTGGCTTTGGTGAGTCAAAATTATCTCATTCTGTACTCTTTTTAATTACATCTTTGATATTCTCATGCTAAAAACATTTGTAGCCATGATAATAAAGAATGAAACTACTGATTGCTAAATTCTCACTTTGTAATGCCTCACACTTACCAAACACAAAATTTTACATCACAAGAAACAACAGTGGCATGCAATACTTAACTCCTAGGTACAAAAGCAGAGAGCAATGGACAAATATTTCTGTGTGTGTGTGTATGTAATTTGCTTCACTTTTGTTCAAAACAATTTAATTTTTGGTATCAATTTCGGTGACATTTTCTCATAAGTTTTAGGAAAATACTTACTAAAGGCAAATCTGGAATGCATGGGTTTTGGAATTTGCTCTGAAATTGTTTGAGAATTGTTTTTGAGCAAGCAGGAAACAGAAATGGATAATGGCTCTGAATTTCAAATGATAAATAATAAATGCAGAACTTGCAGTGACCAGTTTTCAACCAATCCAAACTGAAATATCCTTACATAAAATCATTCATTAGATTATTTAAAACTGTAAGCAGATGCAGACAAATAGTCTCCTGTTTGCAAACCATTCCAGAACTGAGAAAAGACTTAGGTGTTAGTTACAGACTGCTGATTTGGGTTTAAAAAACAAAATAACCCCCAAAACCAAACTGCCTCATAATTATGAATATGACATACTTATGAATATGTCATAAAATATGACATTTTATATCACTAATTTAATCTTATATGGGATATATGTATAAGTGACTATAAAGCTGTGCATGTTAATTGGTAAATAGTAAATGAACACTATGACATAACTTGGGACTATCAGTATACAGAGTGAATAATTGAATAATTTTGAAAGATAAGTTAATGGAAGAAAACTGCAGTATATCCCCTTGTATTTATGGAACAGAAGACAAATACATTGTTCTGTTTTATTCAATTCTTTTGTCATCACTGTCCTTGTACCTCAACTGAATTATGTTGGCTTAATTGAGACTGTGGTAATAATTAGCATGCTAAATATAAGGTGTCAGATCTCTCTCAGATACTCTGTTTAAAAAATTGAGAATAAAAAAACATGGACCATATAAACTATTTTTGTCTACAGGTTAGTTTTACATTTCATATTTTCTGACTTCAGTTTCCACAAGCCTTCCTCTTCCTGAGCAGGTGGTTTGCTTATGCTGACTAAATCATCCTATAACTTTTAGAAATTTATCTCTGAACACTAACTAATCCCAGCATTCTGTCAGGCTGGGGTGTTTAGCTAATATTTTCTATTAAAATAGAATAGACTAATTTTATTAGATTGAATTAAATCATTTAATATTATCTAAGATGGTATGCTTATAAATGGAGTAGTAGATAGTAATGTAGTTTTCTAGTATGTTTTTGGTGAACTTTCTTCATCCTCTTCACTCATTTAGCTTTCTTGTACTAATTTAGAGGAATATGTTTGTGTTCATCATTGCTAAACTCTATCATCTGGTTACTTAAAAGGACCTTTGTGGTTCAAAAAACATAAAATAACTACAAATTTATCTTTAAAAAGATGCTAAGGTACACAATAGAATTATCTGTTTCCTTGCATTAATAATTCGGGAAATGAAGACAACATTAACTTTTTCTTTTTCTGTTTATATTTCATGATGAGAACTTATAAACAGAAATGAGAACAATATTGTTCATATGCCTATTGCTTTTCTTTTATTTATACACACTGTGTTTTCTTAGTGCTTGCATGCACGTTTTCTCCTGAATTTAACCATACTGGTAACTTCATGTGTATTTAATAGAAGACTGCATCCAGAAATTATATTTCAAAGCTCTATCTTCCTTAAATACTCAATTTGGTTATTTCTGTGGTTTCTGGATGTCTGTACTTTTTATGGATTTTGGGTTTACTTGCTTCACTGTAGAACAAATAATTGAGAATCAAAGTGTTCTACTTACTCTACTTGGTAGTTGAAATTGTTGAAGCTGAATTTTTGTAGGTCTCCAGAAATTCATATGCATATTGGGTTTCCACTGAATCTAGAATAATTCTGGACAGAGTCCTTCAGGGAACTGTGTGTAACCTCCTGTAGCTTTCAATAGTAAAGAGTTTTGTGTTCAACTAATTGATCTAGCTGGAAACTTAAAGCATATGTGGTTCTGAAACCAATTTGGAGGAATTAAAAATATTTTGACTTATGTTGTTATTCAGTCCCTTCTCTGGTCTGAGAAATAGAATAATGTGGCATCTACCAAATCTGTTATTCTTACCATACCAAGTTTCAGGAGAAAATGGAATAATTCTTTGTGCATGGGCAAACTTCTATTATTAATCAAAGGTTTTGTAACAAAACCATTTGTATGTTATTGAGTTTCAGAAAGTTGTGTATTTTGACTTGGAAAAAAAAAAGAATTCACACTGGTTGTAGCATTAGTGTAGGTGATTACTGAGCCTGAAAAGCACTCTTCCTACTCAATGATAGGCACACTACATGACTTCGAAGATTCCTTCGAAGAGGAATACAATGAAGAATATGCACCTACTCATAAGATAAGCTTATATTTAGGTCTTCATGACATCATAAGAAAAAGGTTTTCTATAATGTCACTCTGTGCTTCTTTGTCCTTCCCTCTGTCTTCCTAATAAGTACCATAAAGGTTTAAGATTAGTATTAAAATGTTTAATAATGTTGAAAATAATGTCAGTAATATAAACCTTTCTCATTAGTAGAATGTGCTATACTATGTAAATTAAATTATTATTTTTTTTTCACATTCCAACAAGGAATTATACTTGTATTCACAAGAAATATCTATATTTGTGAATTACCAAGTTATGATTGTCTCCATTTCCTGAATATGCATTGTTGGCTTTTTTTAAATAGGCCTTGATGATTGCCTCCAACAATACATAAAAAATTTTGAAAGAGAGAAGATCAATGGTGAACAGCTGCTACACATCACTCATCAGGAGCTTGAGGAACTGGGAGTCACTCGCATTGGCCACCAAGAATTGATACTGGAAGCTGTTGATCTGCTATGTGCATTGGTAAGTGATTTCTTGGGTCACTCATCTTAACAATCTGGGTTTATAAATTTCCAAACCAAAACTAAAATAATGTAGACTGCATTCTCTACAGCTATATCCTTTTACATACACAGTGGCTTCATTAAAGGGCAGACATGCACAGGCTGCTTTCAGCTGTAAAGAAACTATATATATCCATTTTTTGATTATGTATGATGCTATTCCTCTAACTTTCTTGGTCTTGCATTCAAATACTGTTGACTATCACTACTGGCATCCATATGGTTCTGTAATTATATGCCATATGCCCTCATATTTCACTGACACTTGCCACACTATACTAAACCAAGTGGACCTGAGTGTTTTCACCATGCCAGCATTCAAAAGGATGGCACAAGGAGCCAGAAGGTAATAATTAGACTGGAAGATTGTTTAAAGTGAGCTTTAAGACAAGACTGGAATGATAAAATAGACTTTAGATAAAGTACAGACACATGCAGACACATGTGTCAATTTAAGGTTTTTTTTTTAGCATCTTGCAAGCATCCAAATTTGGAAGAACACTGTTTTTTCATAAATAAGAGGTTGTTAATTTAGTTAACCTCTTAACAATGTATTTGATGTCAGAAAATTCTTTTTTTTTTTCTGTTATTTAATTCCTACCAGCTAATAAAATGCAATATATTAACTTAATTCTAAAGAAAAAATAACTTTGTGTAGGTGAACAGGTGAAAGGATATTGAAAATACAAAAAAGTAAATTAGTAAAATGATGTAGGTAAATTACATATGACAATCCCAGTATTTCATTGCTTTATCAGGAGTTCTGCTTTTGCACAAGCTAGGTTATCCTGTGAGATTTTTGTAAGAAAAACTGTCTCCAACAGGGAAACTGGCACTTAGCAGTAAAATGGAAAAGAAACATGAAAAATATACTTGATCTAAGAAAAAAGCAGTATGAAGTACCTTTTATTACGTATATGCTTCTTGCAAGTACGTCTAATTACAAAATATCCTTAATGTAGCTCAAAATCTAATCTTACAAACTAAAGAACTTATATGTCAAATCAGAGAAATGCTTTTGGCCTTGATGCAGCCATACCTGTAAACTGGTGCATACTGCATCACCCAATACGCTTTTGTGTTTTGGAAACATTTAAAACTCTACTTAAGAGTTTTTCCTCTGAAACCTTGCTTTCTACCTAAAAGGAACCTAAATACCCCACCATGTTATATTATGTTATCTAAAGAAAAATGCTGTGCTCTGCCCTGATACCAGTCAGAAATAGCAGGCCCAAGAAGTTTCTTCTGGAAGAACTCCTTTAAATCAAGTGTGCCCATTAGGAGGACCCTTGCTGGTTTTTTTTATTATTATTATTTTTTCTTTTTTAAACAAAGAAACTATACCTCTTAAATGCTGGCCCTGCAGCTGGTCAGTAGTGCAGCTCTTCTCTTACTGTGCTGTCTCATCACCTTATTTTTTCTTTTAAAGTAGGATAGGGATTTTCCAGCTCCTGGTATCATTTATTTAGTCTCCTGCCTTTAAACCCTTACCCTTGTTTCTCACTCTATTTCTAAAATGCCTGCTTTTTCTGATTTCAACCCCCTCCCCCCCCAATTTACAAATTTTTATTATCTTGCCTATTCCATGTGCTTTCTGCTGAGTGAGTCTGCTGCCTGCAGCTCTGCTCTTGGTGGTATTCACTTGCTTCTGACATTTCTGCCTTGCTGCTGTGCACAACACATTCTTCAATTCTTGTAGCTTCTTACAGAGCCAGGATCACAAGTAAAAGTTTTACAAGACTAAGTATAATATCTGGTTTTGATCTGTAATAATTTATAAGAATTTTAATCTATGTAAACAAAAAACATCATTAAGAATTTCTCTTCTTTTCAGTAATGACAATTGAATGGTAGCAGATCTGATGGTGCCTTTATTAAGAACTGAAATACACTTCTAAAATTTCACAATTGTTTTCTTATTCTGTGCTAAGTCTTGAAACATTAATAGACTATTACACTAAAATCTAACTGATTAAATGATCAGTGAAAATTGTGTCTTGGAGTTCATAACTGTAATGGATTTTTAGACTAGCTAGTCTGAAGAAAGAGGAAAGACCTTACTTAAAAAGTAATTTTTAAAAAAGGGGGTATAGGAGTTATCTGTGTTTTCCTTATGCCATAATCAGGAACTAACATATAAGAAATTGTTTGAATCAGAATGTTTTAAGGAGCATGTCATTTTACCTCTGATTTCCTGAGTTACATTATAAGCAAACTTCATACAGTTTATGGGCAGCTAAAATACAGCCCCAATCAGTAATATGTCAGTATGTTAATGCATTGTGTGTGTGTTTATGGACAGGGTGCATAGAGTAGAATGTTAAGTATATTTGTAGATTCAGATATACATATACTTTGAAAAACATTTTTTAAAACTTGTTATGAAAAGAACTGTGGGGAAACATCAATCCAAACAATCTGGTCTAAAATTCCGCCTGCGGAGGTAGGTGGTAACAGCAGGAGCAATGGTTTGTTCTCTTCCTCTGTCCCTCCATTTGCCCCACTCAGCAGGGTGTGTGTTCCCAGGCTCATGCTGGCAGAGGATCCACAATGATATGCACACTGTGTTTTGTTCCTATCTGGATCACTGATAGCTGAATTCCTGTTTATATCAATACATGTCAGTACTACTTTGTACTCTGTATATCATCCACTCACTGGGCCATCTCAATGAGCATTGATTTATTTTTATTTTTTTTTTTTGGCACATGGATTTCCTAATTGATTTGTGCTGGCAATTGGCAATGTCCAAGTTACATGACCTATTTCTTCCAGGCAGGATATTCTACTCCATCGTAGCTAGGTGGGTTGTGTAAAACTTTTAAGAGAAGCATATCCAATGTACTGTAGAAATCTCTCAGGTAAGCTTAGGCTCACTGATGCATCAGGAATTCAGCTGCATGTTGATCATGAGTTTAGCTGGAGAACCACTATGTTGCTTCAGGAAACCAAGAGAAATTTGACTGTCTTAGCTCACGCTTTTGGAACACACTGAAAGTGTGTGTTCTGATGCCATATTTCCATATGCCCTCCCTAAGGGCCTGGCCATCAGCCCACTGGCTTTTGGGGGTGTGGGTAGTAGTTGTTTGGGGTTACACATCAAAGAGCAGTGTCTCTGCTTCTATCATAGCAATATAAACCATTACACAGCTGTCGTGGTTTAGGCCTGATTGGCAGCCAACCACAATGCAGCAGCTCTCTCTCCCTTCCCCTCTGGCAATGAGAAGGGACAGAGAGCCAGGCTTGGGGTTCAAGATAGGACTGGGATGGGGGAAAATCCCCTTTTATGATCACGAGCAAAAGGCAGACTCGTTAGGGGAAGAAAAAAAAAGAACATACATTTATTACATAACTAAATGCTGATCCATAATTAGGGTTTGAAGTGCAAGAGAAAGCAAAAAATAAAGGAGGCATCTCTTGTGATTTTTCTTTCCTGTCCTAAACCATTAACTGAATTCTCAAATGCTAATTATTAAAGGCAGCGAAGGCTTACTATTATGCATTTGTCCTCGATATGATTTTATATCCACTTTTAACAAATAAATATGAAAAACCCACAAACTAGTATGTATTGGTTAATTGATTCAAACCATTGTGTTATTTCTGAATAAAATCAGAAGAGATATTAGTAATACGTACAATCACAGATCGTAATTTTTCTTTTGAAAGAAAGCTGAATTCAGTGCATTATTTAATTAGGCATTACATGAGAATCCAATCTAGAAAAGACTTTACACTGGAAGATGATGACCTGCAGTAGGAAAGAAGATGTAAGAAATGTAAAAAGGGAAAAATAAAAGTATTAGTTGCACCTGTGCATAACAGAAGTGGCAACATGGTGATATAGAAATATATGTATTTTACCTTAAAAATTAAATAATTTAAAACGATAGAATAATCTGGTTTTTGAAAGGGTAAAACTGAAGTGCAGAAGGTGAGCGTATCTTCACTGTAAGAGAGAGAAAGTATTCACACATTCTTGGGATTGCTCAGAGTTGAATTTATGTATTATGAAAGGAAAAGTCATAGGTGAGCCATACTTTCAGCTTCAATCATTTGACCATTCTAGAGAGACACTTTTGAGTAGTGTTTTAATTATGAAGAAAATTGGGAATGATGGCTGTAGGGAAAAAACCCTATCTTAAACATCAAAGTCCTTTCTTCCTAGTTGGTCAGAAGCTGCTCTGCAATTATTTGTTTGAAGTGACCTAAATAACATCTGTGGCCTAAAAAGTACAGGCTATTTAGGATTTGGACTGTAATTTTATTAAAACTGAAATACTAATCTGGATACATATTGGAGGACTAGTTGCACAAAGGCTGACTCAAAAGAATTAGTAGGGCCTGAGGAAAATAATTTTTTGATAGACAGTAAAATATATTGGAAAGAAGAAAAAGGACTACTTCTGAGGTCAACACGGGTTGCTGTTCAAATCTATGCAAGCAAATTTAATTTAATTAGGACAGTATTGGAGTCAATATATTGTTAAAGCCTGCACAAATTAAAATATAAACAGTCTAGTGTAAAGAAAGACTTTGATAATGAATGGAAAAAAAGTGAATGTAGAATGAAAAGCATGCTCCAATATAGATTGTATCTGAAGTAATTAAAAGTACTGATAATTCATAAGCATTCAGCTAGTGAAATTAGGCACTGTGCTATGATAGCATTCAAGGAGAAATAAAGATCAGAAAATTTCTCCCTGCAGTTACGGCAAAAGCTAGCAATCCAAGCATGATAGTTTTTCAGTTAGAAGGCAAAATAAAGTCACCTGTGGGTCAACATGTTTATAACAACTGATGTGAGTTTAATTTGCTTGCATATTTACTACTTTTTTTTAAACAACGTTGGGACACAGTTGCCAAATTAATATGTTTTATTTTTTTTCCTAAAGTTTTTCTAATGTATTTCTTTATTAGGCTTCTCTTTAACAAAATTACAACAGTAACAGTATTTTT